GTAATTTATTTAAACAAAACTTACATTATTTGACGAGTTTTTCCGCTGAATCATCATTTAATGATATGCTTTGAGGTAATTTATTTATAGTAATATGAAAGTTCAAATTAGCGATCAAGAACGAACAGAAACAACTCTTTCAGTTATGTATGGGTCTACTCCTTACTTTGCATGAATCATCTCATTTATAACAATTCTAGTAGCATATTTTGCTGAAATGATAAATACATGTAGGGCCGTTAGGTGTTTAACTCACCGTAGATTTTGTGGACATTCTTCGAAGCGGGAGTTATCTGAAAGGATGCAAAGAGATAAGCAGTAATGAAATTGAATAAAATAAAGTTGCCAAACTAGTACAACACGATGACAGATCGGGAGAAAAGATCGCAGACTCCAAGCACAAAATAGGTCAAAGTCAAGGTCGCGACCTCACACCCGACCCCTCAAAATATCCGCTAGCTCACCGAGAGTAAGCGCACGCTGGCTTAATGCACATTGGAAACCGATTCATTCGTAGCCGATTGCTTAGACCGTAGTGCAACCCGCGATCCCATTAGATTTTTCTGATCCGCTGCTTATCATTTTGCGGTGAGGGGTACGTGCGCAGGTGGGAGAAGGAAGTTAGGGAATAGTCTTTCATCTTACTCTATCCGATTGTTAGGTAATTAAGTCACTAATGATCTGATAAATAAATATGCATATTTAGCAGTCACAAATAGCTAATAAACGTTAAATCCATGAGAAATCTTCTGCCAGATGCAACAGGTACATTGAGTTTCCAATTTATGAACAGCAAATGGCATATCGAGTTATCCGGTCATGTACACCTGATTGTTCTTATGGTACTGCTCTTCATCTTTTCAACTCTTGGTGCACTTATAACAACACCCAATGTCTCGGGAAATAGGTTTTCGCACTGACACTATATCTACTTGAGGTGGATGAGATGGGATAGACGGATAAGTCTCTTCGGCCAATCTTTGCATCCGGGTCTTCCTTTTTCTCTTACTCGTCAAGTTTTAATTATTTTTAATTTCTGGACTAATTGTTGCGAAGAGGAATTTCGTGTTGCTGTTGTTCAGTAATCTCATCATAAGTTGTCAAGGAAATGCGGTAGATAATGTCGCAGTGCCGCAGACACTGCGAATATCCTTACCCATAGCTATAGATTAACTCACATCCGTACTCTTTCCAATACCATACTTATATCCCTCTTTTCCCACAATATTAGAAGTCCATAACTGATAGTAGATGGCTGACCTACAAATAGCGTTCGAAAGACCTTTCTGTCGTTTAGAAAGACTATTAGTAGCATCTGTTTCAGATGAGAAATGGTTTCTTCGGGAGCAGCAATAAAGCTCGGACAAGGAGCACTGCGTGAGCTACGCATCCATCTGTGTCCCACGTCGGCAGCCAGTGCTGGCGTGCGAAATTTCATCGAAAATGATTATGTACCTTTAAAGAAGGCCAACCGACAATTCCCGATACTGATTCGAGAATGCAGTGGAGTACAACCTAAGGTTTATGCAAGGTATATATTTCTTTCCTACTCGGTAATGAATAAATGCCATGATTGGAAAACAGTGTTGACCGGTTCGAGATCAGCCGCTGACAGATGTCTTACTTGTACTACGACTTAATGCTTGAACGGTTGAATGTTTAATTCATTGGTTTACTTTCGGAATTTTTCTAGTCACTTCTAGATTATCATTATTAGACTACTAGATTTCTAGATTCTTTCAGTCTTTTAAAGATGCTATTATCCACTAGTTATCCTAATCTGACTTGGGCATCTGGAGCCCTTGGCCAGACGCGGCCCCTAGCAAGTTTTTTCTGCCCGAGAAGCCGCGGGTGAAGTCTGCCACCTTCTCCCTCTGCTCTTTCTTTGCGCGCCCGAGTGACTCTTAGGCATGAAACCCGTCCACCATCTTGGCAGAAAACTGTCTCTGATTGGCTATATATATATATATATATATATATATATA